GTGAAACATGATGCTAAACATGTTGACAAGTGCCAGAGATGTAGCTGCTCTGCTGGACCCTATTTCCTCTGAGGGCTGATTGGCTTGGCCCATAGCTGCATTTGGAAGATTAAACAGTGCTGCAGTATGGAGCAGTGGCCAGCGCGATGTAGGATGGTGGCCCAGCAAGGACAATTTCTGAGCACTGTATTAAATAGATGACCTTCAGAACAAGCTTAAGACAAACAGGCTGGGAGGTGGGAATAGGGAAAGTTAATTCCCACCAGCACCATAGACTTTGATAAACATCCGTGCGCTCCTGTCTCTACTGGAGCTGTGCTGATTCATCATTTAGTTGCAATAACAAGCAATGATCTTGAGTCATCTTTCATTGCTGCCAAATTTTCCTCCGCACTGCGAGAGTGGGCCACGCTTCTACTGCGTCTATTGTTCCAGATGCCTTAACAATACAGTATAATTTCACTTTAATTGCATCACGTATTCATGTTTTTCTCCAAACACAAAGCAAATCTCCTGGGCAATATGTACAGAGCCTTGGGAAGCTGGCTGCATTAGCATTAGAGGCGATAGTCATCAGTGAAGTTAATCTGTGATATGATGAGACCACCTGGCAAGGTCAGAGCAGGCTCTAGGAAAAAAAGAGCTGGCTCATTGGTCGTGATGGATGCTTTCTTAAACAGTGCTCAGATAATATATTACACATATGAATGGACGCTGCTTATATTACTGCATTGGAGTATGGGCGCAGGTACCTAATGATAAAGTGATTGACAAGCAGTGTCCAAGTCTAGTCCATTTGGTCTTCCGATAATTTATGTTATTGCGTTCTTTTTTTCAGCCCAAGAGTTTGTTTTTCATACCTGACAGTTTTGACTGCTCACCAGCACTCGTACTCAGATTGGTCACGTGATGTTGCTGTGATGTTTCGGGTTAGCTGATTTATGCAGGTTTCTGCGCTATCTTTATAACCGGTGGAGACAGGATGACAGCGCCATCTGCAGTCCAAATTCCTTAGGACAGTATCCCATCTTTGACCACTGTAAAAGAGAGAACCACATTATGGACTAGGATGGAGCAAACATCATTGGGACAGAGGAAAACAAACACCGTCACTAGATTAAAGAGGCAATCACCATAGGGACACGTGCCCACAGAACTACAAACCACTACGCGGGGGCTTTTTTACTCTCACACACCTGGGATACTGTCCTAAGGAAGTTGGACTGCAAATGCTGCTGTCTGCCTCCACATCCTGCCTCCACAGGGGAGGAAGGAGGAAAACAGCACCAAAACCTGCATAAATCAGCTGACTGAAAATGTCACAGCGACATCACGTGACCTCTCTGAGGAAGACCGCCAGTGAGTCGTCGAAACTGTCATGAATGAATGGTATGGTATGAAAACAAACTTTTCGTCTGAAAAAAGAACCTAATACCATAGTGTTCAAGTCTGTTACACCAAATTATTATGACACATTTCTAGATATAGTACAATTTATTCTGAAGTAACTAGGGCTGGGTATCATTAAGAAGTAGCCGATACGATACATACCTCGATACACACACCATGATACGATACATATCTCGATACAGTGCACTTTTGATTCGATATGATATATTTCAAATCGGTTCGATACGGTTCAATAAAAAATAAAAGCTAAATCATGGCTGTGACACTAAAAGTCTTTGTTAAACCACTTCTTGTGCAAAGTTCATATGAAACACAAATATTTTAATCATCAAAACAGTAAAAATGTCAAATGTGTCACATAAATGAGTTTCCTTTCACTCCACAAGCCACAAAACTGTAGCACTGTAACAAAATAATTTAGTAAAACACATCTAAAAATCCTCTTGGTGATATATCGATACAGCAGCCCATGATATCGATACTGTATCATCACATTAAACAATACAATATATCGATATTCCGATATTTTTGCACACCCCTAGAAGTAACCCCTTTCTTTTGCATATAAACTCAAGTGACTCAAATTTAGCAAGTAATTTAAGTGGGCTTCGTTTTTTGTGTTTTTAGGATAGTATAGTTTTCATTGCAGGCTAGTGAACTAATGTGATGTAGTGTCCCCAAAAGAAATATTGATTCTTTGCAGTGACATCATGCTGGGGGTGTTCTACGTGTATCTCTATTGGTGGAATGTTCAGTAGTTACCTTGGGAATAATGCAAGCATTATCAAACACAGACAAAAACATTTTAAGATCTCAAGAAAACTCAAGACAACACATTTTAGGGAGATGGTCAATATGAAAAAGTGTTGGCTAATGCTACTTAAAATAAAGCTCTGATTAAATCTAACTCCTCTGCAAAATATCAATGAGGAGTAAAAGCAAAGAAACATTCCATTTAGATATAACTTACAACTCTCAATTTTCTACAACAAATTTAATAAATGTTTTTAAAAATTCACTTTTTTACATTTAATATGACAGTAGTGTGTAGAGAAATTATTAGGAAATTAGGAAAGTTCAGACTTAAATGACTATAGTTGCTCTCTGAACCAAATGCTCTGAGAGTATGGTGCCTACAACTTTGTTCTTTTGGGATACATTTTTTCATAACTTTCAGAATCATTGACCTTAAAAATGTACATAAAAATATACTGGTATGATGGCATGAATCTGATTTGTGATATTCTATTTTGTTCCTCATAAAAGTGTAACTGTAGGGGCTGTTTTGTGTGAGACTATTAAAATGATTTATTAGCTCCCCTAGTGTTGGGGCTGACACTCTCCACACTGTTGTAATAATGAATTATCAGTATACAACGTCATGAGAGATCGAACGAGATAAGGAGCTCTGTGTGAATAATGCACTTATTGACTTTTTCACAGAATAAATATTCATGTGGTTCAGACAATGGGGCATAATTTTTCATCTTTCCCAACATTTGTGCTGATATTGTGCAGTGTAATAATCTAGTTTAAAAGTACACTATGTAACTACTCTGGTGGGTCTGTTTGTGTACACAGAGATGTTATTGATTTATCTTAAATGTTGTGGTATGGCATTAAAGTTATCTATCTCACATTTATTCAAGTACAGGGATTTTACTGTTAAAATACATTGAAAACATACATTTTCCATGGAGATGGACTAGTTTAATGTCATATTGATTCATAACATAAGTGGACGCTCCTCTGAAAGTTACTACAGTTCACCAATAACCACTTGGGGGTACAAGGGGGCATGTCATGATAAATACTATAGCGATGTATCGTTCAATGTTACATGGAACAATAATTTTGGGGGGTCAGTATTTATTATGTGGTCCTTTTTTTGCTCTAATGGGAAACATTTGATATTTTCGTCTACAAAATGATAGGATTTGAATTACATAGAGTTGAATTATGACTAAAATATTTATCTAAGTGTTGCAGTCTGCTGTTTATTTATTGTAGCTCAACATTATTTAACAATATTGTACATTTAAAGTAATTTTTACAGGGGTAATTCATCTTTATAATTTGGTTTCAGTATTATCATTTACTTCAGCAATATATAGCACAGCAGGACTAAGAAGAAATTGATCAATGAAAATTATTTTGGTAATCAGCTCTGAAGTTCATTGAGAACAGCAGTGTAGTATTTAAATATGCAATCAAACTTGCCTGATTGCTTAATTACACAATACTCAAGATGTATGGAGGCTGTTATGTTTTGACAGATGCAATGGAAAGTTAACAGTCACCTGGGATGTCTTTGGGAGTCTCAGATCTCTGCCCTGCTTCATCCTGTGTTTGGATACAGGCATCACACTCAGTCACCACAGTCATACCGCTGATGGATCACATTATAATTCAATTAGGAAACAGAAGATACGAGTAGGCTGCGTGTGCGGTAAACATGAGTCTCTGTGTCCTGGACTGTGTTTCTGTATGTGTATTTTGAATTAAGCTATTTCAAGATTATAATTACACATCTATCAATTTAAAAATGATACACAATTTAAAAATAAGCACTATTTATTTCTGTTTTGAGTTACAGTAATATTCACTGTTTAGCATAACGACATCATGTAGCAGATGAAGAATTACGATGTTAGGAATGCATTAAGAAAGTGAGGAATGTATTTGGACCTATGCTGCCCATGTAAAATGAACTAGATCTATCTTTGTTTGAAAACTGTAAAAATAAAAAAAAATGGATACAAGGCCTTTAACTTTCATTGTGCAGTGGCTCTCAAAACATGACTCATGAAGCAATAGAATGGATAATTAAAAAAGACAGTACATAAACAAGTGATTTAAAATACATAGGACCCAAAGTGATTAAGACCTATTTCATCCCAAGGTAAAGTTGTAACATTTCACTATTTCTACTGCTGTGCCCAGGGAATCCACTCCATCTGCTGTAAAATTTGAATGTGCACCTGTCTGACTGTGAGCACAGTCTTTGGCAGGAAAAATAAACTGAAATGTGATGGCAGAGCCCTTGAGCTTGTTATTTAGCAGAATCGTGTTCATATTTTTGCCTGAAATTGTTGCATTGTGGAACATAAAATGTAATTTAAGTAGGTACCCAGAGGCAAATTTGTCTGGCTGCTGCTAGGCCTGACAGGTTTATTTCAAGCATATTTTTTAAAAAGGGAGAGAAGATGTCCGAGGCAGTGTGGCAGCAAATAAAAATTCTTTTTTGTGCACATTTGTTTTTTGGTTTTCCATGTGTGTTTGAAGAGAATGAGGTCTATTGCTGTAGCTATTGACTTTAGATGAGGCAGGGCTTGACTAGAACTAGATACAAAATTGTCCCTTTCTTTTCTAGTCTCTGAAAGGTTTTGATCTATATCAGAACTAGTATAATATAACACAGTAATGTTGTTTTTTTTATCTTTGTCAAATGAAAATCAATATTGAGTTATAAGCTTTTTCCTTGGTATCAAAATAAAATTCTAAATGTCAGTTTTGTTATAAGTTTTTGTTATCTAACCCTTAATAAAGTTGTAGTGATTGATCCTATACATTTTTTTGCTCACCTGTAGGAGAAGAGCGCCCTCGGGAGAATGTGGTGGGCACTACAGATGTGCAGTCAGCGGCAGGTGCGGTAGGAGCAGAGTCCAGCACCAACAAGAGGAGGCTGCGCTGCTGCATCAGAGTGACCACGGTGCAGGTGCAGAAGGCATTATGGGGGGTCGCCATGGTGATGTGTGTGTGCTCGTCCTGGGCAGGTTTCACGCAGATCTCCAAACTTGCTTTCAAACAGTTCGACGCCCCGTTCACACTCACCTGGTTCGCTACCACCTGGAACTGCCTTTTCTTCCCCCTGTACTACATCGGACACATGTGCAAGAGTCCAGAGAGGCAGACACCGCGGCAGAGATTCAGGTGAGATTCATTGAAGGCATGGCAGCTGTAAAGTACTTTATTTTGTCAGACAATTTATGACTATTGTTTTTACCACATGCAAAATTGTTGGGAAAATTGATTCAAAATTCATTCATAATTAATACACTGAATAAAATAGTTAACATCACATGTATACCTTTTGAACCCATGAAAAGAATATAAGACTGTTGCGTAGGATGAGAGGGAACAATCCAGTAAACTGTGAGCAAGACTGAGCCCCCATAAATCGTCATCTTTGCAAAAAAGAAAAAGTGGCTTTATTATTTGATACAGTGTAATGTTTCAAATAGGATTGATAGTGTGCTGAACTCCTTGCTGTCATTTTGGACCCCTAGAAATTATTTGTTCAATTTTCTCTGGTTAGATAGATACTATAGAATATAGATGATAGTTTTCTTCTGTAAAAAATATTAATTCAGCAGTTATGCAGAGTCACTACTCGTTTACTTCAATTTCCAAAATGACTCACCAAATATTTAATTTGTGAAATCAGATTTTTAGCAAATGTTTGCTCAATGAGAAGCAAACAGGAAGTTCAAATAGTTTTGCAGCTGAAAAAGTCCATAAATCATGGTCTTTAGACATTATCTGTGGTGCTTCCTGCATTGGACAAAGAGACAAAGAAAGCAGCACAGTAGAGTCAGTGTTATGGATGGGCCCAGGGGATTGGAGCCATGCCAAATGTTTCTATGGGATGTAACTCTTTTCTTTTTTAGCACTTAAGAATCTTAAGGGCTCAGACTGTTGAAACTCAGAAATGCAAGTAGAATATTAAATGATCACTCTTTTAGGGATTCACCAATTCAGCGTTTTCAGTTGTGATAGTATAGCTTTAAGTATAGGCCAATACTAGTGCAGAGACTGGAAATAGCATTTATTTCCTTAAAACAAAAACAACATATGACAGAACTATCTAGATGTTTCTATCCCTCAAGTAACTACAGAACAACTTTGTGTAAATAAAAGTTTCAACATCATGTGACTTTCTGGGTCGACTATGACCAGTAAACAGTCTTATTATGTCACCCAGATGTCGACTGAGCTGATATTTGAAAGCCAATATCCAACCCAGCAAATTTTCAGTATCAGCACCGATATTCAATAGCAGTATCGGATCAGTCCATCCAAAAACTATTGTTTGATGAATTTGTAGCTCTATGTGGCTTTCAGGTCCAAAAGGTAGAGAAATTACAAATTAAGGAGACAGACTTGACTCTAACATAATCTGGATTCTGACAGGATGTAAAAGGGACTGACAGGTCTCAGGCAACTTTTGGGCACTGACCTTGGAATTTCACTAGAGTCACCCATTAGCTGTCTTTTAACATTAAAATTTATTGAATATGAAGAAATGTAATGTTGTGTGTGTGTGTGTGTGTGTGTGTGTGTGTGTGTGTGTGTGTGTGTGGTGGTGGTGGTGGGGGGTGGGGGGGGGTGCAGTGCTATTTAGCAGTTGCCAGTAAAATGAAAAGTTCAAAAGTAAATTAGAAGGTATTGTGTGCATTTTAGTAAAGCAAAAACATGCAGAAGAGTTAGTGCTGATAAGAGCCCTTTACAAACATCACAGAGCTAATTTGGTGTTGAGGTGTTCCTACGCAGAGTCAGCTGAACAGAGCTGATTCATGCTACTCCACTGTGTGTACTGTAACAAGGTGTGCTGGCAAATACTCTCCACTGTGTTTGGCTTTATTGATGCTCTGTTTGTTTCAGAGGCCCAGATGCTTTCAGAGCGAGCTGTGACATAAACAGTGTAAACAGCAGTGTGTGAATGAAAAATGCATTATGCCGATTTCCGGCTGGGAAACAGGAAGGACCACAGGAGTTTGAAAGTAAACAGTAAACAATGCCAAGTTCATACACCAGCTAACAGACTCTTAACACAGGAAAGGATTCAGGGGGATTAAGAGTCCCATTCCGCAGCTGTACTGTGTATCTCTAGTGAGAATCTATTTAAGCTCTTGCGTTGTGATGATGTTGGTTGAGCAAATATTAGATTTTTGTGTAAAAGAGTGGTTTGATTATATTTAAAATGTGGATAAAATGGGAAGAAGCACACTCCAAGAAGTTGTTATTTACACAAAAGACAATCAGCAGTTTAGACAAAATAGTATAGACCTCCATGGAGTTTAACGGTAATTTGCAAATCAATTTGTAAAGTCAACAAGATATTAAATAACTGTTTAAAAGCCATCAGCTGAACGGGGTTTTAGTTCATTGTATTTTTTAGAAGCTCTGGTTTTAGAATAAACAAAGATGAGGAAACTTTAATATTTCTGTGCAGCTTATTCCAAACCTGAGGACCCTTACATGCCATATTAAAACTAGTACACAGGTTTCTTTTCTTTCCCTTCAGAAAATATAAACTGATTAAACATTTTACCACAAGATTTGCTCTGCCAATAAATGAGTAGTATGTATTATTCATTACTGACTAAAACCTGTATATATGTGAAACATGTATTAACAACTGTTTCTCTGACTGTAGGGAGTGCAGCAGATTTTTTGGGGACGACGGCCTCACCCCAAAAGTGTTCTTCACTAAAGTGGCTCCGTTCGGCCTTCTGTGGATCCTCACCAACTACCTGTACCTGCAGGCGCTCAGGAAGATCAACTCAACAGATGTGTCTGTGCTCTTCTGTTGTAACAAGGCCTTCGTCTTCCTCCTCTCATGGATAGTGCTCCGAGACCGCTTCATGGGGGTCAGGGTAAGGCCAATGCAACTTTATTACTCTTCTTATAGCCAAAGACGTGCGATGAAATAAGACGATTGCACCACAGACTTTAATACAATGAGCAACAAAGTAAATCTTCAGCATATTGTCTACCCGAGAAGTCAGATCATTTGCATAGTGTAATTGGTACATTTCCTTTGCCGGGCTGTTTACTTATTTGTATGCCATGTGCTTGTACTGTACAGTAATATAATTTGGATCATTAGTTTTTACATTGTGTACGAACTGATCAAATCTCGACTTGTTTAAGCTTTGTGTGTGATTGGTTGGCCACACGCACTGTATTACTGTCTTGGTTATATGACAAAAAATACTGTTCTTATTTTTTTAATGACACACGTAGGAATGGGCTTTTGGATTTAGTCTTGGTATGTAATTTACTGAGGCAATTTCTACTCAAGGGCAAGGGTGTGTAGTTGTGTGCAGTGTAGTATTACCTCAGCTGAATGTCAGTGCACATTGCATCAATTCCATGCTAATATATACCTGCTGTGCCTTAGTAATACAGTGTGTCATACAGTGTGATTTTTTTCATCAGGATGCATGTAGAGAGGCTTGGGTATCATGGTCCACTGTTGTGTTTTCACATATACAGTCATGCAGCACCCTGCAGAATGGATTTTCCCTCTTTTTGCACTCACTCAAACCCCCTTTTCCCCCTTCACGCTGTCCCACTCTCTCAACCCCCCCATTATCTGTGATATAGGGCATAGTGAGAGAAAAATGCCATCATAATCTCTCACTCTCCCCTCTCATGCTGGGGGAGTGAGGAGTGCAGCATTTGACTGTTCGCTGCAATGCAGGCCATCTTAGATGAGTTTGTCATGAAAGTGAGAGACTAGAACACCAATATATAGGAGCAGCAGATTCAATCTTGTTAAACTTCAGCGTGGGCTGTATCTGTTGAAAACAGAAGCTTTGGCTTGCAAAAACAAAACAAAAAAACTGCAGATGAGCACTGCAATGTAGTAACAGGATGAAATAATGAAAATGCTTTTTAATTATAAAAAGCGCTACTCTGACACAATGGATGAGTTGTAATTGTGTTCATATCATTGTGGCACAGGTTTGCCTGTAAGGTTGCAGGTGGTAAGAGAAATGATCCTTTCTGCTTTTCATCTCAGGTTTGTGCACTACACTAACACCTTGGGGTCAGTGACCCTTTAAACAAACAGTCCTCACACTAAGTGAGAGGTGCAGCAGTGAGTGACATGCAGCCTGCAGTGCAGAAATCAGTGCTTCACCAATGGTGTCCAAAGCCTTTGGCCAAGCAAAAACGCATGGCTCATTCGTCTTCTTGACACCTTCGTATGCAGAGCAAATCCACTCAGCTGGACTGTACCATGTTCCTCTCTATAACTCAAACCAAGCAGTTTCACATGCATGTAATGACTGCATAAACGCTGGGCGCACGATAAACGTTGACAAGGTTGGACTCTCTTGTTCCTGAAACAGATGGTTGGGTGCGTCTTGTAGCCGTATGATTCCTGGATAATCCCAGAGGCAGTACAGGATGGATGTGGATCTAGGTGGTATTTGGTTTGTAAACACGATGACAGTGCAATGGAAATCAATGTCTGACAATCACAGCGGCGCTGCATATGTGCCGTATCCTGTGTATGCGCTCCAAGGGCTGATTATGCTGGAGGGTCGGGTGTAGGACAAGTGACACTTAATAAAGCTGTGTTCAAATATTAATTTTCCTGTGATTTGTTCCTGAGAGTCTGAGAGGCCATGTGTGCCTGCTGCTCACACAGCAGTGGTGGCTTGTGATTCTTTATTACCCCACTGTGAGCAGCATGCTACCCATTCGTCACTCTCTAATGTCCTTCTCTTTGTCTACAGATAGTAGCTGCTATCTTGGCTATAGCAGGCATTGTAATGATGACCTACGCTGATGGATTTCACAGCCACTCTGTCATAGGCATCACTTTGGTCGTGTCCTCCGCTTCGCTGTCAGCACTCTACAAGGTATTTCTTGTCTAGCAACATGAACATAATTTGTTTGTGATTTTATTTGGAATATTTCCACCTACATCTGTTGTATACACTGAATACTTGAGACAGTGGAAGTTCACTGGTTCCTCAGGCTATTGTGTCCTCACAATGGAGGTTGCAGTGAAGTTATATTTTGACAAGACCTGTCTCCACAGCCATGCTGTCAGTGCTGCCTAATGTGATGAACAGGCAGCTACGGCCCTCTGCCAAAGATATGGCAGGTGCAACTCCCAAACCAAAAGCTGTGTGCTCCTTAAGGAGGTCATATATTATCATTCCTGACACACGCCATTTGTAAGTCTCCTCCCCCCTCATCTACAGGTTCTCTTCAAGATGGTCCTGGGCAGTGCCAAATTTGGAGAAGCTGCTCTTTTCCTGAGTATAGTCGGGAGTGCCAACTTTGTGTTCCTCAGCTTTGTACCGGCCATCCTGTATTTCACACACGTGGAGTACATCGCCTCATTGGCAGATATTCCCTGGGCATATTTCTGTGGGGTATCGGCACTACTTTTTGGTATGACATGTTTTTCAAAATTTAAAAAAGTAAACTGTTGCAGCCAGATTTGTGTTGTGCAATCTTTACAAAATGCATTTGGTATCACCTACTTTGTTACAGCTTTTAGCATCCTGGTCAACTTTGGCATTGCAATTACTTATCCAACCCTTATTTCCCTGGGCATTGTTCTCAGCGTTCCTGTGAATGCCAGTAAGTGTCTTGGCTTTGCTCCAATAACATACTGCTCCTATTCACTTAAAGCCACAACATAAATTTCTCTTTAATTTAAAATCTAACTTGTATCTTGTTTATTTCCACAGTGGTGGACTTATACACATGTGAAATTAACTTCAACACAGTTCGCCTCATTGCAGTCTCCATCATTTGCCTGGGCTTTCTCATGCTTCTGCTTCCTGAAGACTGGGACCAGTGCATCATCCAGCTTAGCACCAAGCTACGAAAACGCGACGAACCAGCAGATGGCAGTGGCGAGTTAGGAACTGGAATTACTTGGAGAACTCGAGCCAGGACGTCTATGTCAACATTTGCACATTGACTTTCTTGCAAACTCACACTCATTGAAATTGACACTCCACATACTCAGTGCTGGGACTTTGCCATTACATCTCTGGTACTGCTACAGTATCAAGCATCAGTAGAGATGTTTTGGCTAAATGTCAATGCAAGCCAAGAAGAAAGACATTTGGGACAGGCAAATAATGTGTCATTGCCATGCTATTTTCCCTTCAGAAATGGCTCAAGATGATGCATGGACTCATGAATTGTAATCCTTCTAACTCCAAATTAATCAGGTAAAATTGATTGTGTTATTTTGCCTGGGAAAACTTGTTAATTTGATCTTTTTAATTTTTTGCATTTAAACATGCCTAACACCACATACATACTGGCTTTATACACCTTTACAATCCAAAGAACTAAACATGAATGCCTGATAGAGGAATAGGAAGTCCACCATGACATTTTGAAGGGGTCTGATAACTACCTGCCTTTTGTGCTCTGTACATAGCTGTTTCACACCTCAAATGCTTTGCAGCTGTGGGCCTGGTAGGATGGGGTGGTGTGAAGAGGCCTGTCTGGACATCTTATGCTCACTCAGAGTTTGAGAAACCTTCACTTCCCTGTTTTTATATCCAAAATAGAGACACAAACCTCAACCACACTGATGCTATGCTTATCCTCGGGCTAAAGTACGGCTTAGACCCACATTTTGTCTCGACATTTAAAACCAGCAGCATACTAACAGCATACTGTTATATTGCATGGGAAATTGGAGATGAGCTTTCATAAAACTATACAAACCAAACTATAATTTGCAAAAGCACATACCATGCAGACTTTTTCTAAGTAAATACATACAGACCAATATACATAAACTTTAATATTGACTTTAAACATTCAGTATACTGATGTTTATGCTCCTGTAAATAACATGTAGGCAGAAAATACACTGTAGGCCTATGCATTGGGATGTATTTGACTTATCACACTATCTGGTCATTCTTCGCATGACAAAATATTCTCGAAATGTGACTAGACTGAAAGCATAGCAAATCTTTATTTCCTTGCTTGAGTTTTAAGTCTTTCAGCCAATAAGTCATTACAAATCTTTTACAGCTATGAATAAACAGAACAGGCTGGCACCAGCTTTGGGAGACACTGAGGACTGAGGACTTGTTGTGAATGTACACTCATCATTGAATCACTTTATATGAGCCTCTTTACAGTGCAGAGAGGCTCAAATACTGTTCCTTGAACACATCTGATCAAGCATTTTTCATCACTATGACTTTTTTATATTATTGCATTTGGTTTCAGATTAAACTGGTGTGGTCACAGTAACATCTGGAGGAGCATGCACATAATGTATGAGCATAAACTGAACCACTTCACTGCCTTTACTTTATTTTGCAATGGAGTACATTAGCACTGTTTCCCATTGTCATTCTTTATGACAATAATGAATAATATTGTATTCCTCTGGAATTATTGCTAGACATAAATGTAAACCTTTGTAAGGAATGATGATTTTTACACTAAGATGCATATGAACATATGATTATCACAAATGAGAAAGAGATGTTAAAAACAGAAATAAATTATGGTTTTAATAGCCTTGATGTCCAGTTTCTTCCAACTATCAGATCTTTTGTATATAAAAAGGTATATTTATGCACTTTCTTGTCTTTGATTGGTTTGTGTTTTGTCTCTGACATAATTTACAATTTAATCTTTTGTCAAATCTGTATAAACATTGGCTTGTAAGTAGAACAAAGATACTATAAGACATCATGCTCTACTCTGACTGTAATTTGTCCATAGAAGAAAGTAGCCTGGCGCTCCTTGGTCAGTGCAGAGAAAGGTAGTCTGCTGCCCTCTAGTGGCCGAGGGGGGACCTGCAGACAGTCCAGCTGCCTAGCCCCAGGCTTCTGTTGCCACACTGAACACGAGGGGGAGGCATGGTCTGGATGACACACTTTGCAGAGTCGCTCTCCAGAAGTTTGTTTGTAGTTCGTACTTACAGTGAATACTGAGGAGCAATACTTGGAGTGGTCATAGACTGTACCTGATGAGCAGGAGGGCATGCTGGGATTTGTTGTAAGAGTACTGGGTTCACTGTACCTAGTGCCCTCCTCCACGTCAGCTCTGCCCTCCACTCTTCTGCCCATCAGACCCCCCAGGCGTGTACTTACCTTCTGCCTCAGTGCCTGAAAAGCTCCTTGGAAACGCTTGCTCAACAGAGCGTACAGTAAAGGGTTAATGTCTGAGTTCAGCAGCACCAGCCAGTATGAGAAAGTAACTGCGAAAGGTGGGACGAGATTAGTCTGGCCTGAGATCGCCGTTTCAGTGGCTTGGACTAAAGAAACTCCCACGTAAGGTGTCCAGCAGAGGAAAAAGGCACAGATGACCAGGAACAGGCGGACTACTCCATGTTGATTCTGTTGGGGCAACAGCGAAGATGGAGGGGACACTGTATGCGCGAGAAAAGAGAAGAAACGTCTAGAAGTGGATTTGGTGTGCCTTGCATTTGATGCAGGAAGAGTCCCTTGCTCTTCTCTGAACTCAGACACAAACTGTCCGCTCACATGATAGATGAGTTTTGAAGGTGCGTGCAGACTCCCGCAGTGCTCGTGAGAAGAATCACCTGAGGCAAAGACTGTGCTGGAGTTCCTGCTGCGCTGCACAGAGTCCTCCAGAGTGTGGATCCTCCTGGCATGGCTACGTGCCACCTTCACAATGTTAAAATAGCAAAAGAGGATGACCACTGCTGGGATTAGATAGGACAGGATAGCCATGAAGGCAGTGTAGCTTGGACTGATAGACCAGTTGACAGCACAGTTAAACATCGAAGGCACATATTTCACTGAACCCCAGCCCAAGAGAGGAGGACAGCTGGTGGTGAGGGCCTGCAGCCAAATCCACAGGACGACAACACAGGTCCTCCACAGGGTGCAGCGGGAAGTGTAGTGTAAGCAGTCCACGATGGAGTAGTAACGATCCAGAGCGATGGCAGCCAGTGTCAGGACAGAGGCTGTGCAGTAAACAGAGGAGGTGTAGCCCACGTACAAGCATAGATCCTATAGGAAAAGGAGGAATAATGTTGTTCTAATATCAGAGAAACTAATGAGAGAAAATAAATAAAAATGTATCACCTTACATTATTGTATTTGTTACCCTTAAAGCCTATTTACACAAGAGATTGTTTCAAGACGCAATGCAACCATAGCAAGAAAATTCATGTGATCTGTTTTAAGTCAAAAAGTTTTAAGTAGGTCTATTACATAATCCTTATATTTGAAGATAATTTCACAATTATGTTCTGCATTTTATGGCTCCATGTAGTATAGTCATATAGGCCTATGTAATTCAATATCAAAGTATTAGTGGATAATTTATTTAGGCAGAGTATGTTAACCATTGAGTGTTGCTGGTGAAGAAAACATGTTACTCACAGTACACTGCTCCCACCCGCTGTTCATAAGAGACAGGGCGATAAAAGGCATGACTCCAGCACCCACAAGCAAGTCACTGACGGCCAGGTTCATGATTAACACTGATGTCACCGAGTGGAAAGTTTTAGTTGCAGCCACAATAACAATGACCAGAATATTACCTAGAAAACACAAAACACAATTGTAGCTTTTAAATACAACCTAGAGTAGGCCTAAGTTAAGAGGTGTTTAAAGAATTTGGAGAATATGGCTTACGCATTATACAGCGAAAGAAAATAATTATAAAAGTGAGAGGTATTGTTTTACTCAGTATATTACAAGAACTTAAATCAACAACTTCTCAACTTCAAGTTCCATCACCGACCACTGTTACACTGCTCAAAAGGACGTAGGTACCTGTGACAGCTCCAACACACATCAGCACCATAAGGATCTCCAGAAAAAGCTGAGTGCGCGGTGACAATGTCCCATCTGCGTCCTTTGTCCAGTTTGTGCTCACCGCCAAACGGAGAGAAGTCCAGGAGCTAGAATCCATGTCACTCATCTTCCACGAGGAGAGTAAAAGCTAATCACACATGATGAAAATAACAGACTGCAGCATGAGTGTGAGCGAATGTCTGCGGCTGAAGGATCTCATCTGACTCTGGGGCGGTCTCCAGGTGAACCAACAATTTAGAGAGGACGGAGGATGTGCGCACCTTACGCGTCAAACACTGCACTGGCAATACAATGGTAAAAAACACTTGGCCTACATTTATTTCAAGAGTTTATTAATTACTTTATGACAGTTGTGCAACCACTCGAGAAATATAAAAATGCCATTACATGGCAAATGCACATTATTCAATATAAAGGTTTTAGGAGTACATTCATTTTTGATGGAGGATCTGCTACTGCTACTGGAAATTGTTTTGCCCGGAATGTTCCTCAGTATGGCAATAAACTTATGTATTTTATGAGGGGAGGTTGCTCACAATGGGAATGCATGTTTTTTGAGCTATTAAAATATGTGTAATTGCATACATGCAAGATAATACCTTTTAATATCATACTGTGGAACAATCCAAGCAAAGCAATAACATCTTCATGCAGACAAGTAGTTGCATGATTCCCATCAGAACAGTTGCACAGTGTACCTTTAAGATGTTCAATCATAATAAAGATTTCCTTATCCTGGTCCCAAGTGCAGATACAGAGAAATGGACTTAGGAAAGAGCCAGAGAAAATTTTAAATACATACAATATCATACAAGACCATAATATACATTGCTTTTAGTCACAGTAAAATGTTTTGATCCACACTTTCAATTTCTGTTAGAATAGATGCTTTTTAACAGCACCATTACTTTGTCCCTCACTCGACTTTGGCGTTGGCGTTTCCTGCTCCAGAGATGAGATGTTGTCTTGTGTATTCCCATATGAGCAGTGCAGCACTGACATGAACATTGAGTGAGCGGATGACTCCTTGTTGTGGGATCTCGACACAAACATCCAACATTTGGAGCAGGTTTGCAGGGATACCCTCTCGTTCATTACTGCATCAGAGGAAAACAGGAGGTTTTAATTCAAACACAAGGAAGTGAACAAGGAACAAATATTGCACAAGTAGACAGTACAATGTATTCATACAAGCATGTATAGAACAGCACAAAACTCTACTGCATATAATTTGTTACAACATATAAAATATTGAAAAATCAAGATTTGACACCATACCATGATTAGACAGTGGAGTTGTACTGTTGTGTCTTTGGGCATGATCCTTCACCTACATTGCTTTCTCAAGTATGAAGATTATAATACTTCCTTACTTATTTGTCTACTCCCTTATTACCCAAAAATACCCTACTTACTGAAATTATGCTATGGAACTCACATCTACTTAAGTCCAGTGCATAATAACACAGTACATAAAAACAAACATGATGACTTTAGTATTTAATAGATAGAGAGAGACAGTACCGCCCTGATTAGCGGAGTTACATTTCTCTTGAGTGGAGCTGAGTGACATAATAGTGAACTGATGAAGATTAGAGCTGCTTCATGCTGAGCACAGAGAGCACAGCTGTGAAAGCACTCAGGATCCAGCCGTGAGTTTAAGTCACGACCAATATATCTGTAAACGGAACATGGATCTTAACAAAACACCTTAATGAACTTGATGAATTATAATTTCTACCAGGGAGCATGCAGAAATGACCAGTGTATTTAATATAAGATATAGGTAGGGGAGAGTTTGTTTTCAAAAAATCTACTTTATGATAATACAACATAGAAATTAAAGCTAATAAGTCCAGTGCATAATAACACAGTACATAAAAACAAAACATGATTTTAGTATGGTATTTAGTAACACACCACACCAAACAAAGTGCCTTCTTTGAGTAGTAATGCATTAAAAACTTTTAATTTAAGAAGTGTTCAAATTATTATTAGTCTTAAGCTATTTTGGGCCCTGGAGTATAGTGGCTAAGTTACCTCTGAACAAAGTAATAGTTCTCGATAACAGAATAGTTCTGGATAAGGAATTCTTATTCAACCACTGTGTGAATGTCTTTTTTGTAGTTGGTCATTAAATTGCTAAATAAGTTCAAATGAAATACCGTCCCAAGGCAGACATTTTGTTGGTTTGTTGTTAAGTATCTTAAAACAGAGAAAGTTAACAATTCATTTTCAATATTCACTCATCCCATATCTAAAGTTAGTCAAGTGACTTTTTAAGCTGTCAGTGTCCCATGGCTTGTATCGGTCTGTGTAATCTATTTCCTGTGCCCTTCCCACTGGGACGTCCAATTATATCTCAGCATGTTCCGACAAGCACATAGGTGATAGAGGAGCTTCATGGTCCCATGGGAGAGACTCTAAAAACATGCGCTTACATTAAATAGCATTGTCAGCTAACACATTTAACTCAACTGGAGCACAGGGAGCAGGAGGCTAAACCATATTTTCTGTACATTGTATCATCACATATGTTTTCCATGCTTTATGTTTGAAGTTAATTTACCCCAGAAGTAGCAGTGTCTTTTCAGGAAAGTGATAGCTCTCGAGGCTGTGGCTATTGGCAGTTTGTTCCACACCAACAATGCAGTATCCTTCACTCTTCTTTAGCTGTAGAAAGTCTGTAAGCTCCACTGGTTTCACCTGCGAAGTCGAGAGATAGCAGATACAATCAGTGTTAGCCCTGGTCATCTTGGGAGTCATAATAAGGACCATAACAAGATTGCTAATTGCAATTCTGCATACATGTCTAAATTAATTATACGTGAACAGTGTCCAACAAGGCCCTATTGACTTAAGCAGCAATCTAATACATGTCAGGCCCTCTAGACGAGGTAGAAAAGCTTTGTATGTTTTATGCAACATCTCATTTCACCTCCAGCAAAGGCAGCCACCTCTCAGACGTGACACTCAGTGACTGAAACTGTTTGTCGTTGACATGGCGAAGATTGTCGAGGACCAAAGCACTGGCTCCAAAGATCTCACATGTTCTGCAAAGACCTAAGGCAGAATTATATAAAAAACACAGATGTTTCAGTTTAATCAAGACAGAAACATCCCATTTGTTAAAAGGGTCACAATGACCATTTTAGTCAATGGAAATAATGACTGTATGAAGAGGCTATTGGACTGTTGCTAGGGTTACACTAACATACACAAATCAACAGTGCCCCCTGTAATGACAGACAAGAGGGGCTTTTCCAGTAAAACATTTACCAAGCAGAAAGGCTCAATGTGTTCAGTTACATAATGCAATACAAATATTGTCTTTTCAAATGTGTTTTTGCCTTTATAAACACATTATTATTGATCTGAACTGTTATCATGTGATACAAAGGCTATCAAAGACACTTGGAAACATAAAAGACAAACTCCCACGATAGCCGTCTGTCCCCTGTATAAACTATGATAAGGGCTATAGTGAATAACCAGCCTGTTTGGGCTCTGCACAAGCCAACCATTAAAGGTTCATGACACATCGCACAAATACAAAAAATATGATTTAGCAAAATTAATTATAAATGATAAATTACATTCCATTCTGCTTAAATCTACCTCCTAAATTAGTGGGTTTGTCAATGAGTGAAGCCACCACTAGCAGAGCCCCATGTGTTTTTCCCATACGGGCAGCTCTTTGGTGGGGTATAAGCTGGAGTTCTGGCTCTTGCTCCTGAATGTCAAGCTTCCAAGGAGTAATTTTCTTCTGTACTTCAGCCCAGCGCTCTTCCTTATCCTGCTCACCTACAAAGTAAACTAGGTAAGTCATTTGAATTCACTTAACAAATATCAACTTTCCAGTGATTATCATCTTTTTAAAACCACTACAGTACTTTTATCTTGTTGGATCCAGTCCCCATGATTGAGCGCTCTCAAATCAGAGGCAGGATTCCTCAAAGGACAAGATGGAATGTGAGAAAAACATGGCAGCTTCTCAAACTTCCAGGGTGGGATCCACTCATCATCAGATAAATCAGACAGGCTGGGGAATGTATACAAGATTGTCTGGAAAGAGTAAAAAGTACAGATGTTTAATGAGGATACCGTATAAAAAAGGCACAGTACAATAGTTTCAATATAACAATAAATTATATGTCAATTCTTTATTTTACATTGTTCAGCATCCCATACGTGATTATATATTGTACAGTGTTTAATATGAACTGACATTAGATCTTTATCATCAGCATACTTTATTTTCAAATTTCCAAATGAAACTGCTGAAATAAAATTACTTTGCAACCTTGCAACTTCAGCAGGATTAAAATTTATGTGGGCAGTGAGAGAAATGGCTGGGCCTGGCAAAATGTGAAGAGGGTGCCAGCTCTGATCAGCTAGACAAAAGCTTGTCTGCAAATATTGCAAACCATTATTATTATTATTACTGATTCTTGCAGAATTGTCCAGAATGTTCAACTCACCTCAAGACTGTAATCTCTGAGGGGATGAAAGGCACCAAAGAAGAAATGTTCCTGAATTTTTATCCAATTTTTGTTAGCATTTCTAAAACACAAAAGTAAAGTATTATCCAACAATAATGCACAGAAACCTCACTTTAATCCACTTCCTATGGCACTATGGTATGACCTTACCCAGTACTCTGCATGGCTTCAGCCTGGTTGAGACAAGACGTAATCACAGAAGACAGTGAGTGTAAGCCATCTGCCCCTCCATTCACTGCTCTGGCTTCTGCCAAATTCCAAACTCGTTTAAGAGCCAACAAAGCATAAAGGCGCACACTGAAGTTATGGTTAAAACAGCACTGCAAGATGATATCCAGGGCTTTGCATAACTGTACAACCTGAAGCAGTTAGAAAAAAAGATATTGTAAAACAAGTAATAAGCAAAATATATGTAAATGAATAGGCAAATGAATGGTTAGTTACCTGGTCCCTAATGTTTGGAAGAATAACGTTAAAATGAACCACAACTGAAAGGAAAGTGCAGATGCTGACCTTGGTTTTTTCATGGTCCTTACAAACCAAAACAAAACAAATACAATTCATATGCATGTTATTATGTTCATTTTGTAATAAACTGAGAGCTCACCACATTAAAGCACTCCCAAAAGCTGTTAATGTGATATGGGTATTTAGTGAGGATCAAAATCATCAGCCATTCAATCAGGTACTTCACTGAGGCCTGATTACTGCAGAATCCAGCCTGATACACACTGCTCAGTATTGTAGTGACAAAATCCTGAAAAAATTAAATGATCATTCTTTCTTTTACAATTTCTTACTCACATGATACTGTATATAGTCAAAGTGCCTTTACCTCAGTGAGTTTGGGAAGCAACACCAACAGTGTTTGCCAGATCCTGTTTTTCACTCGATGTTGCATTGAGTTGTTATAGTAACGAACTTTAGAAGATGATATAATGTTATCCTGGCAAAATGTGATAGGGAAGATTTAAGTTTCAGTTTTGATGTTTTGTTATACACATAATAAGACTAGTAATAAAATCAATGACTTTAACTTGAATAGAACGACTACCTTTTTCAATAATTCAAGGACTACGTTTTGCATCAGCCTTTGATGCTGTGGATCTGAGGAGTCCAGTCTACTGAGCAAAGACAAGGCACATGCACGGGGCAACTGATCATCTCTGCTGTCCCTGGAATAGTAATATAGTTTTCAGCTGGTAATGAAAGTATGATTTCAAGTGGCATCTAAAACCCACAGATGTTGGAAAGAGCTTACCCACAAAGTACATTAGCTGCACAATCTTCACCAAGTTGTTCCACATAACTCTGGACATCCTGAATTAGCCTTTAAGAAAACAAACTTTATAAATACAAGAGTAATGCAAGAATAAAGCCAAAATGTTTTACACACCGTTGATCTCTTCTGAACACTGGTCCATAGACGCATGCCTCAGTGAGGATTTCAATATGGTTGAAAACACTTGCAAAGATAGAGTAATCCTGGGACTCACTGTTTTGGCCGCTGGGAAGCCATATCTGACAGCAGTGTTGAATTAGCAGTCCAAACACACCAGTCTTTGACTGTGATAACTCCATAAGCTCAGAGGCAATCTAAAAACAAAACACAAAAAAGGTTTAATAAAAGATACATATTATATTAATGCTACCGTGTGTACATTTTTGTTACCCTCTTTATGGTTGAGGTGAGATTTGGTGATTGTGCATCAGCCAGCATTAGGAGTTTATGATGAAAAGCCAATGAAATAAAACATTTAAGAGATGGCCAGAAGTCAAGAGGGTTTGTGCTTAAGCCCTGAACAAGGTCCCAAGACAAGCTGATGGCATCTACACAGAGGGATTCATCATCCTGGACTAACTGGAAGAGGAATAAAACAGCATTACTAAAAACATACTGTACATAATAATGAACAAAAATATATGATACACTTACATGAGGAAGAGCAGTCTCCAAAAAGGCAAAAATTGGCAGTACTAGATTGCTAGGCAGAAGAGACAGGCCTTCTATGGCACAACTTACAGATGACCTCAGAATTTCAATGGACTGAGAATCTCCAGTTTCAGTAATTCCAGCAGTCTTTGAGAGAAGACTTAGGCAAACCCACTGGTCTCTCAAATAGTGGGCCACTACACGTCCCCAGTCCTTCTGCATTGGACTAGATCCATCTGTGTCACTATAAAAAAAAAAAAAGAAGGAAGTCTGACCGTTTATGTCAAATTAGTTTTTGCATAAAGTAGATTTAAATCATATATTTTACTTTAGACAGTCAAGGCCAAATGGTTTCCGCAGGGTCTCATTGATGCGCCCAACAGAAGATGAAGATAATAATATTGGATTGTAGAAGAACTCATTCAGCATTTTCAGTCCTGACACTGATTGCATGCCAATCACATTCTGCTCCACAAGACTGCAAATCAAGGCCAGAGATGCCATTGCAACAACTCTTGACACCTGCACTGACACTGATGGGCTCTGTAGTCACAAACACAGTAACTTATGAATAATCATACAATTCAAGTGGTGGAAATTGTTGTCAGGTGGAAAGATTGCTCTGAGATAGAAGTGTACCTGCTGACTTGGTTCTGCAAGGATCTTGAGGTTGAAACTAATGAGTTTGGGGAAATATGTCTGTTGAATTTTACTGTGGTGTTGTGGTATAGATTTACATATGACCACCAGCTGTTTCAGGACACACAAGTACATATTTGCCCGCTCTATGTCAAACAGCTGTGAAGAAAAACAGAAAAAAATAACATTCATGTTTGTATAACACGGTAACATAATCACTTATGTTACCATACCTCTTGCAGCTGTCCACATAACTGCCTCACAATGAATTCTAGTACTGGATCTAAAACCTTGAAAATTTGTTTCTTAAAGGCAAACAAGACATTATCATCTGAAAAAAATGTTGGAACATCAAATTTACAATTACAAGTATGTATGTATGAATAAAGAAAGTCTGTTTTTATTAGTTATTGCACAAAAGTAGATATGTTTGCCAGCTTTATGTATTGTATGTGTACTAAATGAAGCATATAAAATCCAACCTTTATTGCCTTGATTTATTCCTTCCTGCAGCAGAAACTGGAGCACAAGCTGCAGGCTCTTGTCACTCTTCCTCAAAGGCAGGTAGATATTGGTGCTGACTCGGCTCAGAGTGTCCCACAGTGGAGACAGTAAGGACTCCAAAGAGTTGTTAACATCTCCGGCCGGCTGGCACATTTCCATGTCCACACACAGCAAAATTGCCCTGGCCAATTTCACCGCTTCACTGATATCAGGTAACCTTTCCGTTTGACCTGAAAATCACCCAATTTGTCAATACAGCAAAAATTTTAGCCATGCATCAGGAAATATCATGTACCCTCTGTGAGTGGGGCTCACCTGTGCTGGGAGGGACTTTGAGGTAGTTGTAAAGCTCATTTTGAACATACGCCTTTATACTTTCTTTTTCTTGATCTTTAGAATTTATAGGCTTGAAACTGTGTTCATTGTTCATAAGCCAAATACATACCTGGCAATATGAAAAATTTCCATTATTCATTATTCCCCTATGATCTCCCAAAATAAAAGTTGGTTTAGACATGTAACCTGGTGCCACAGCTTTGTCCCTCGACTCAGAGACTCATCAGAGCGGAAATGCATTAGAAGACCAAACACATCATCAAGGGTCACTGCACTCTGGGGAGATGTATTATTTTTTAAGTCAAAATGACATTTTAGCATTACATTTTTAGTTTCAAAGTATTAGACCATAATGGTTTCATATAATAAATATATAATGTTCCAACACTAACCATATCTGTAAGGCAGAGGGCGCTGTTCAACAAGAAACACTGAGCAGCACCTCTTAGCAGAACTTGATGAGTTATCATTGTGCATCGCAGTACCTCTCTGTCACATTAAAACAACATGAAGTATTACAACTATTGTTACCAATATGACTTAAACTATATAAGAATAGTACCTTAAAGCAATAAGACCATTAACGCCCAGCAATGGACTTGGAGAGAGACTAGCTAAGGCCTGGGATATGAAGAGGACAGGCACCGCACACCACTGCTTTGTGGCTAACTGCTGAATCAGCTGCAGCAACAAAGAGGCTGAAAAAAATATAAATAAATAAATATATTACATAAATGAATATTATACATTAAACATAGATATATATAGCAGATTAACTGTATATATTACACATATAGTAATACATATAGTAAATTAAATTATATCATTTGACTATAGGTTTTTTTACCTTTTTGTTCTGATGGCAAGTTGGTAAAAAAGTTGACCATGAATACTTGCAGTTTGCTCCCCAGCTCTGGACATTCACCTATGCTCTGTTCAATGGCTCTGATTGGCAATATTGGAAAAAAATATATATTTAATTAGAATTTAATTAGTTAATTTAATGTATTTACTTAGTTAATTAGTTAGTTTTTAATTAGTTAACAGTTAGTCGGTTTCTCACCTTTGAAAGAGTGAAGTTTCTGACAGAACATCCAAAAAAGGCCCAATTACAAACTGTTGGGAGGGCAATAAGTAGTTAAGTAAGTAGTTTAAATACTTCAATGAGATTTGAATTAAATACAAGAGTGAGTATGAACCTGAGAGAAGGCCATAGCAAACTGTGGCTGTTGGAGGGCCTGCATTTGGAGCAGATGACAGACTCCCTCTTTCATGAGCGCCTTATTTTCACTGTGAAACATGCGCTGGTACACACAGAGCAACCAAGATGGGTGTAAGAGGCAGTTACCTAAAGAAATTTTACTATTTTTAAAAACTACAATTTTATTGGAAAGCACAAATGAGATATGATTGAAGTGGTTCGTTTACCTTGGGTGTCATTGACGATCTGTATTAATGTGTCTATTCTGTTTAAGACTGGACGAACAACGTGAATCTGGGGAGGAAAAATTGTTATGCGTCTCTAACTACTTAAGTAGTAAAACGTCTAAGGCTCCTTTGACTTAAAATATAATTATGATGAAGTCACAGATTACATACCATAATGACAGAAAATATAAATTACCTGGTTTTCTTCCAAAGTCTCCATCACCAGGGTGTAATCCTCCCAGAACTCTCGCAACACTTGGCTGTTATTAGAGTCCCATATAAACAAGACCTCCCCTGCAGCAAAAGCACAGTCAGTCTGGGATATATGGAAAATTGGATAATATCATGTTGTTCCTGAGACATGCAAAATTAGAATATCAAGTAAAATAAAATGATGTGAAAACTGATATTTCTGCACTTTTGTGGTTTTATGGTCCATTCATGTTTTGTCAAGAGAGGCCGAGGTAAAGTCATTTTCACCTTCTTTTGAGGCGTGACACGCCAAACCTCTGTCTTGGGATAGTGCCACACATCTTTTCAACAGGTACAGCGCCCTCTTGCGTGCCAGACTGTCTCTGTGCGTCAATCCATCCTGAACCATCCTCCAGAACTGAATGGACATTCGTGGGTCAAAGGTCAGACAGTCTGGGGTCAGCATGTGGTCAGACAACGCAGCCAGGCACATTAAGGATCGTCCCGTTACTGCAGGTGTGCGCTCACTGCCGTGCCAGATACACAGATCATCCAGGACTGACTTGCGGATGTTGTCTAACCTCGCGCCGCTGCTACAACTGAAGAGCGCAGAAAGGAGACGCAGTGCCACTCTGGATACTTGGGCATCGGGGAGGGTTTTCATACAGGACGATGCTTGTACTAGGACTTTATGTACAAGTTCTTCACGGGGGGCTATTATGGGTAATAATACTGATAGGACTTCGCTGGCCACCTCCACAATGAACCGTCCTGATGCGACTTCTTCGTCTGACGGCTGGAGGAAAGGCAGCACGTACTCGGTCACTTTGCCCGGGGTAGCAGGATCACACAGCGGAATACAGGCTCTGATAAGTTTACAAACGGCTGCTAGTCTCTCCTTACATTGTACGCTCTCGCATACTTCTGAAGACATTTTGGACAGCAAAGGGACGCATTGAGACCAAATGACATTTTCTACATTCACTGCAATGCTGTGGCTTCTGGACTTTACATCGGAGTTGGCTGAGAGCGATCCAAGTCCTTCAATGAAAGCAGTCAGCGCCTCCACTCGCCCAGTCTGCGGCCACGATTCACTCTCCCACGAAAGAGCTTTAAACAAAAGATCGTAGTCCGGACAGCTCGACAGGAGAGTTTCCATTAAAAATGAGTTCATTTTTGTGAACATATATAGACATACGTTTCAGAATGATTTAGTAAGCCGGCTTTTCCAGCGGCTAATTGTAGCACGTTTTTCTCTAAATGTAAACTTCCGTATATGTAATCTCGGATGTGATCGCGAGATGTGGCAAAGAAACGCTTTCAAACACAAAAACGTTTCAAACTTTTTTTGTTTTTTGAACGTTTGCAATTTTAACTCCTTTACAGAATATAATCTATTTTTAATGCAAGCAAATATGAAACGACAAACTCCTCAAATAAAATGGTAAGCATTAGAACAAAATCAATAAAAATGTGAAAGACAACCTTTGTAAAGCAATAAGATTTTATTTTATGTGTAAAAAAAGTATTTTAAAACAAAAATATTTAACACTATCAGCTGTTAAAATGCAAAGGCATTCAGTAAAGGCTGACATTCTTTTCAGTAAAGCCGATATGGCTAAAGATATTCATTATGTCACATACAGTTAATTACAAAACAGTCAAAATACTGTCTCAGAAAGGCTCTTTGTTTTGGGGTTATATAATATGTGTACTGCAGACTCATTATATTTGCTGAATACAGACATAATGCTTAACAAATAATGCTATACTGTGATATCTGAAGGGAGTAGAAAGTACAAACAAGGCTTTGGATGAATGCATTTCCAACTTTAAAGAGGTTCAATTTTCCACATCAGTAGACACATTGCTGTAGAGGACTAATAGGAAAACATAACTGTACATGGGAGTTGGTTATTTAAAAAAAGAAAAGAAAAGTGCAAAACCCCACAAACACAAAAAGTGCCTCAAAGAGACGAGCGCAAGACCAGACCAGCTTTTTAATTTCATACTAAATGCAGCATTCAAAATACCCCACAAGAAAAAAAATACTTAAAATGATTGTACCACAGGAGTAAAACATGATAAAAGAGTGAAAATATATACAGAATTTACATTAATAAATAAGTCTAATTTAAATTTCTGCTCAGCTCTCTCTAAAAACACTAAACATAACCGAAATGAGGGATCCTGTTGTAAATGTAACCAGATTTGTAAATAATGTCTTTTTACAACTTTGAGCACTCCAGAATTTGTTATAGGAATGCATATTCCCACCAGTTACATTCAAAAGATAAATTCCAGTAGCTGCTCATCTCCTAACAAGTCCAAAGAAAGGCAGTTTGTAGATCTACGACCATAGAAGGTGGGTTTTTCTTGGCACGGGGTAAGGGGGTAATAATGGTGTTCAGTGGGAGTCTTTACATTTAAGGGGGCATCAGGGAACCCAAAGGTGTAACTGTGGGAGGAATCGGGAGGCAGTGCTGTTCCTAAAGGAGCCGGAGAGGGGAGCAGACGGACGTCATCAAGACTTTGGCTGTGTCGATCTGCACTCAACTGGGCTCTGGATTTAGGCAACTGTGAAATAAGCAGATTCAGAAAGCACACTAATTATAAACATTCTGTACTACAAGTTATAATCATTAAGCTAATGCTAGAAGAGCCAAACCTGTTTCAGTATATCTTTGTTCTGTGACAAATCCACATCTTCAGGTTTATTTTCTGAAAAAACAAGTATTAAAATCCAAATCAATAACAGAACTTAATACCTGGTATAATATATATAAGTGCAGTCTATTCATACCTGTTGAGTGATTTGACAATGAGAGATCTATGCAGTCGACTGACACACCTTCAAGGGACTCAGTCAACTGGAACATGTCATTGTGGTCATCTACAAGATCTTCTTTTGGGGTTTTACCTTGGTCTTCTTCGAGAATGGAAGCAAATAAAAGCATGTAAATACACAGGGCAAGTAAATAACGGAACATGTGCAACACGCAAACTACTTGAAAACCACAAAGGCAAATCACGTTTAAACAGGCTCAATCCGCTTTACGGAATGTTTTGCATAGCAAACATGAGCCTTTAACCCTACTGCAATATGATACAATCTTGCTCAAACAGAAGAATCATAAAATAAAAACTTAAACTGTAGCCCCAGATATTTTTTTTTCTATTTGAAGTTATACACAGAAATAAGTTTTATGGATCTCACAATAAATCAAATCTAAAACCTTAAATTTAAGCATAGCGTATTTTACTTGGCTGAAAACAAGTGCTTGAGTACAGCAGGGTAAAATCTACAACAGCTATATTTTTACTCTTTACTGATGCAATGTGTAGAAAAGTTTTCCTCACCCTCCTCTGGCCACTCGCCATCTTCTGTTAGAGTCTTACTGCCAGCCTCCACTCCAGAGGTACAGGAGCTGCCCCGGCTGGCTGCTGAGCACAGGCACAACTCTGCCTGGATGTGGCCCTCCTCCTCCATAGACGCTCTGTCTGTGGAGATGCTGCGTTGGCGGGTGTCTGCTTCGATACCAGAGCTGCTCGTGGAGTGTCGAGACAGACCAGGACTATTCTCGCTCCCAGGAGGATCCATGTCCAAGTCATCACTGATGTAAGACTCCCTGTACCGCTTTTTCTCTAAAAATAAAGCATTTGCCAGCCAATGTCATCAAACAAAATATGTTAATACATTTTAACATGACATTTCTTTAGTCTTCTGTAGTGATCATAATGTATATTCTTGTACCTTCAGTCTCCTCCAGCTGCCGTAGGTGTTTCAGAGCATGTTGGAGGCTGAGGTAGAGGCGATGACAGCTGCTCAAATGCAGGAGAAGATGGCGAGATCGAAATGATGATCCTGTGTAATACACAAGCTTTCTAGCTGAAGGCAAACCGTCTGGCTGTATCTCAAATTTCTTCCCCTGAATTTAAAAACCAAATTAAACATCAATCTATGTAACATGTAGAAGCATGAACAGCTAAAGGCTAAAAACTCTTTGAGTAGATAGAAGATAAAGTACAAACCAGAAAAGTGAGACGGCCTACATTTGACCAGGGGAAGTCATACACCAACTGCCGTATGTTGTTCACTTCCTACAAAACAAAACAAAAAAATCTGTACATGGACTTGTGAGGAGTGACACATTACTTGCAAAGTTTAAATTTTAAACAATTATCATTTTAATTTCTGCGCAGGTGCTATCTGGCCTTGACAAAAAGATAAGACCACAAAAAGACAAGACCATGGATTTCTTGAGGTATCTCACGGTCTGCTGGCTCTTTAATCAGTCAGGCCTGGAGCCCTAATCCCCAGATGGCCCCTGACGGACACATCAAACGCTGACAGGCTGCAGACAGGCCCTATCTCCGAGGCCCGGCCACTGCTGGCAGCCCACACATTCCTCAAACCACTGTTCAGAGGTTTATAGGACTGCACAGGTTTAATCTGTGAGCCAATGCAGGTTTGTACATCCCGCATCAGCACTGACGCACGCACAGGGCATTTACTACAACAGAAACATATGCTCATACCTGATAGACTTGCATTCCTCGCAGCGTCAGACCAAGCAGAGCAGTTCCTTTCTCTGCCTTTTTGTCCTGTACAATGAATGATTACATGTCAGAGAAGCATCTGAAAGGTTTAGATAAGCCATTCCACAGTTAACCCCTGTACCAGCTCCCAGGGAGACAGAGCTGCTGCTAACAACAAATTAAAAGTCATGGCACATTACGCAACGCATGGGCAACTCTTCAAAATATCACTCAGCAGTAGACCCATTCCGAACTAGGGAGAACAATGAATAAACTATAGTAGATAAACCATTATGCAACTGCCTCATAACGTTTTGTGCATTAGGTCATTTGCCTGTGTCTTGGGAAAGATGAGAATTTATTGGGAAAACAACACCATATTAACAAACCTAGAATTTAATCATTACTGTCAAACGAAAAAAAAAGTCTGACCTTTTGCAGCTTGTAAAACGTGACTGGGACATCCTCCAGTCGACATGACTCTCTGATAAAGAGCAAGATGGCATCCCGGGAGGACATGCCCCACAGATCCTGATGAACTTTAGGACCATGGCACAGAAGATAGTCTACTCCACGCTTTGCAATAATCTACAAAGATTAAAAGCAAGATATTATAGATATTAAAGCTGACAAATAGATTCATGCATTAAAGTGAAGCCTACCCATGGAGGGAAGTAATTTTTGGGTTCAAAATAACGCATGGTCTCCAGGTCTTGGCTGGGTGGTGGATGGTCCCCCAGGTCAGCTTGTAAGGCATAACCTGCCAGCTGAAAGTATACCTCCTCCTGCTGACGGCATTCAGAGCGCAGCACTCGCTCACGTAGATCTGAGTAGTACAGATGCCGTGCTTTGCGTTCACTGGTACAAGATATAACACATGAGTGGAGCATGTTATAAAGAGGTTGATGGGAAAACATATGAAGTCGAAACAGAAACACATACCTAAGAAGTCTTCCATTCTCAACATAGTACTGCACCTTGAGACAGAGCACCAGAGGCAACGGTTTCTTCAGTAATGTCTGTATCAGTTAAACATTTTATTTAGTTGATTTGTGATCAGTGCAGTACAATTCTAACTACTATCCACTACTGCCATTACCTTTCCCGTTTCTTGTTTCCACTCCTTGGGGAAATACTTGGTCAGTTTATCTTCCATGTCTATGTAGATGTGTTCATTGTCTATCAAAAACAACAACAAAAGATTCAGAATGTTAGTAACTTATGGTATGAGTATGGTCAAATAATGCAGCTACACTTAATTACAAATAAATCAATAGTATTTCTATTACATTCTACAAGTAATACTGATCATATGTGATCTAATATACAAATGTGGGCAAGAAGGATGTTCTTGCACTCCCCAGCATCCATGATTCATAGAACTGGCGTCTATGTCATTAGTTTTATCTTTTTTGCTTCACTATCAGGCTTGCCCCACTATTACACAACTCCATCCATCTCACTTGCCTCTCCTTTCCAACTCTGAATCATCCAAACTCCTTAACCTCTTCTCCGTTGACTAAGACACTCATCTGTCTCATGACCAATCCCCTCTGTACCTCTTTTACCTCACCTCCCTCTACTCTCCCCTCTCCATTATCACTCTGTCCCTCCCTCAGTGGGGAGAAGGAATGCATTGGTGCATTCCTGGCTTAATGAACTTAATATTGCAGGAATCCAGGCCTAAGTGATCGCTGAACCAACACCACAAAAACAAAAGGCTGCTTGTTTTA